ATGTATGTGCTTGGCACCAAGATAGGCCCAGAAATAAAGCAGCGAATAAGACACAAAAGACCTTTGTCTCATAGAGAATGTGTTTGTGTGCACGCATGTGTGTGTACGCATACATCTGTTTGATGCTGATTCAGACTACGGAATTCTAAAATATTACATTGTACCATTTTTACTTAGAACATTCAAATGGGATGACAAGGATTTATCCATCTTAATTACACTGTTTTCAAGGAAAAATGTAAAACCTAAAACAGGGAAATACTAAAGTTATAATTTTGGTCTATCAGCAAGTAATTTGGGGAAAAAATGAACAAGATAGACAAAGGAGACTGAGCAAGCTGAGTGATGAATGAGATGATATTACAGTTTCTGGCAGAGAACATAGGTCATATTAAACACAGAAAGGGGAGATTCATTTGGGTACATAAAACTGTGGCATCTCCATTCAGAGGAACTACTCCCTGCATTTGTTCTATTACAAAGCTATTAACTTCTACGAAAATAAAAATTAAATTTGCAAGCTGGAAGAAGCTTATGGAATTAATTATGATGATATGTGAAAAGAAAAGAGGAGGTGTTTCCATTGGGCTCTAAATGTATTAAAGAAAATGAATAGAATGGAAGGAATATCTCCATTTGGGGTTTGTAAAAGACTTTCCAGGAGGAAATATTCAGATATTTTAGGGATTGAGTAAGGTTGGTTTTTACATATAAGTTTCCTCAAGTAATCTCACATGAATTATAAAAGTCAATGTGTTATGTATTCTATACCTTCCCCCATTTTTTGGACACTTCCAACAGGACACCCTCCCTATGGGAAACTGTGAACATGGTGTGGAAATTTTTCTGATAGAATGATCCCATGGGATCCTGCTTCACAATGAAATGGAAATGAAGCCTCTAAGTGGCTTTCAATCAAATGAGAAAAAGTGAAGCAAAAATGTATGACACAAAGTATTATAGATAGCTCTTGGATTTCTAAAATGAACTCTAAGCTCAAATTATCAAGGGGCAGCATCTGAATGCTGAGGAGGAGAATCTGTCCCCATGATCCATATTGACACACTCACCAGCTGCCTTGTCACTTTTCTCCTTATTTATTTGTTTGCCAGAAAGATAGATCGACTAATTATAAACAATGGGGGAAATGGCAGTTTAAAAGCAATAAAGTAAAAAAAAACAAAAAGCATGAAAAGAGGAATTGAAATCATAAGGTGAATGTGTATAATATAGTGCCGGGTGGGGCGTAATCCAGGCAGACTCGATCAGATGCAGGGCAATAAGAGTCACTTTATTAAAGTCTTCGAAAAGTCTTTGGGGCCTTGGACACAAAAGTCACTGGAGGTCTAAATGTGTTACATGTTATGACTCTAGAATTGGGTCTGGCACCAGTAGATTGTGGCTGATTAAAAACACAGACACTGGCCCAGTTGTCATGCTATTAGGCTGAAGGTGCATAAAAGTGTATGTGATACACAAAAGATGAAAATGGGACTACAGGTGTTCAAATCATACCATGTACTTTGTAATCTTGAGTTCCAAATAATGTTAGTTCTGCAAGTACTTTCTAAAGGTGAATTTAATTTTCATAGTTTAATAAGTTACATAAAGCCTTAATAACGTATAAGAATGTTCAAGCATTTCATAGTGCAGACTTCAAGTATAAGCAAAAATTACTCAAGGTTTTAGGACGGTCTCTAAACCTTAGAACAAACACCCCATGAGATCTTTAATGTCATTACAAAGCAAAGGAGTCTAAGTTTATAAGTTCTCATCTGAAACACCCTAACACAGTGAAGTACGTGCCGGTTGATTTATCCCTTCTGGAAGAATGAAAGGTTGCATTGGACCTGGTGAGATTTTAACCTGTGATCCTAGAGAATCTTCCAGAGCTTCAAACCTGAAGTTTGATGTGTAACCTACTGGTTTAAAGGGACCTACATATTAGTACTGGAGAGTCTGACATAGTGGGTGGGTACATCAGACATCAGAAAGAGCAATTTAGTCAGCAAGACACCTATATTCCCTGTTCTAATCATAAAAAAAGATAATCTTTCCAAGAGCTACCACAAGAAGAATTTTGATAGGCACTGAGTGAAAGCAAGTCATATTGCTGGAAGTTTCCTTTATGGAGCCTCAGCCTCAGTTTGGAAAACGGTCCCAATTATTTCTGAGAATGTAATGGCTCATTTTTACTAGAAAGATATTTGAGGTGTATATTATGCTATGTTCAAATTTGTAAGATATTGTTGAATATACATCATTTTTAAGTTCAAAGAACAATGATCTTATTTATCTTGATTTAATTAATACTTCTTAGTATCACAGTTCATTATTACATGGATTCAGGCAGATGCATTACATTCCCCAAAACATAACTCGGCATACTAATGACCTGCTGCAGCACTGGCTCTTACTAAGGGGAGCTTTTAGAAATGACATTTCCCACTCCTTACTACCACTCCCTACAACCTGTCCCATGGCTGCTGTTTTTGAGCCAAACCTCCCCGAATGTAGTATTTTTCACACTTTATGCTTGTATGCTATTTTCATTTGTGGAAGGCAAAAGAAGGAGAAGGAGAAAGAGAAAGAAGAAAGGAGAGAATAGAATTTTCAGAGGATAAAAGACAAGCTCCATCTTTTTGTACTGTGATATAAATCTCAGTACAACTAAGATTTTTTGAATCCGAAGCAGTATCAATTTTGTGACCGATTTTACTCGTTAAATTATATTTTTTTCTGCTCCTATTATCAATTTTGCCCAAATGATTAGATTTGCTTTGAAGTTAATGCAATTTGGTTTTAAAAATAGCCAAAGCAAGCAGAAAGCTTTAAAAATATCTAAATATTCTTATTTTTTCTAAATTATCTTACCTTGCGTTTGTTTTTTATTGTCTTCATCTCCCTTTTTTACCATCCGATTCTGTTCTCAAGAAAATTAATCTACTTCTAGAATAATGGATTCTGTATTGCTGTTAATTCCAGAAATAAAAAAGAAAGTTTTACTAAAATTTAACATATATAAAGTGTCCCTTCATTTCCCCAGCTCTCCCTACAAGAAGGAATTAAGAAGGAGCCTCAAAAACCAACAGTTACACATCTACATTGAACACAGCTATACAATTCATTGAAAGAACGTTTCGGTAGAAATTGCCGTTTTGCATCTTGACTGATTTAACTGCCTAATGACAAGTCTTCCCACTTAAAATACAATCTGGGAGGAAAAAATCCCTCCCACACCTGTGATTGCATATTATTCACTGTGCTTTGGGTTGGCAGATTAAATAGAGGATGCCCAGTTAAACTTGAATTTCAGACAAAGAACAAGTAACTTTTTAGCATAAGTATGTCTAAAATATTATACTAAAAGTCAGTGTTTGTAATCTGAAATTCAAATTTAACTGGTGTCTTTTAGTTTGATTTGCAAAATCTGGCAATTCCTGTTGTGCTTAAGGATGAAGTAAAAGTGCTTGTATGACCTGAAAGGTGAATAGTACTTTCATAGTGCAAGGTTTTTGCAGAGTTTTCATCTGTAATTTGAATAAACTGTTGCTTGAAGTTTTAAACAAATTGTTTCTAGCTGAGGATGCTTATCTTGAAAACTAGCCACCTGTGGGTGTTTCTTCTGTTAATCTTAAATACTTTGGTGTTAAGAATTGTTATTTTGATGCCGTATCCATGTCTGTTGGCCTTAGTGGTAAAATTCAAATTTGCATTTTGATAGTACCAGGCCAGACATAGCTATAGTCATAGTAAAATGTTTTAAGATTACAAGACGTCTAGCTTTCTCAAAATATCTACTCGACTCTTCTATCACTAGCAAAATGGTAATTTTGTTGGAAAGGGGAGGGATATGTCTCACTTCCCAAAGTCATGAATAGACACAAACCTCAGAAAAGTGCTGAAACTGGGAATTAGATGCCTATTCACTGCAGTTTTCATCTTTCCTCTTCCCAGAGTGTTGGCTTCAGTCTTTTCATTATAGACTCTTCTTGGCTCTTTGCTCCACAGATAAAACATTGGCACCCCAAAGTTCTGACTTTAAACATACGGATGCATGCCATCAGAACTTCATTTCAGTTCCAATTCTCTAAGAATAAAAACCATCATGCCCAACTTGGAACAGATGAGCACCTTTGTGCCAATAAGCTATTATCAATGGGGCAGTATCATCTATTAGATGCCTATCCTAATGGTGGCTTACTCTTGAATGTGGAGTAGCATCTATGGAAAAGACAAGATATCAATGTGTAGGCTAGAAAGATAGCTCAGTATGTACCCATTACAATGACCAAGGGAAGTAAGTTTATAAGTAGAAAAAGATACGAGATAAATTCTAGGGCATAGGATGAGGTCAGGCTTGGGTAGGTTGAAGCTTATTGAGCACCTCAGGAAGAGGGTAGAGCAAGTATGGAGTAAAGAGAAAATTAAGGAAAACTTGGCCTTACCCCAGAAATCTTGGAGAGATCAACTCTTTCAATGATTAGCAATGGTGATATTTTAAACTCCTCTTTTGCAGTGTTTTATTTTAATGCCAAACTGAAATCTGAATTTCGATGATGCGTTTTATAATTTTCAGCAAAAAAAAAAAAAAACACCAAAAATATGGTAAAAAATATTATAAAAAAGACACCACACAAAGCTCTGAATTTTTTTTTTTTTTTTTTTTTTTTACTGGCTGCATGGAGTTTATTTTCCGCTTGGTGCCAGGTGCACAGTTCCAGGTGCCAGGAAAGCTAGCCAGTGCCGGGGCCAGGCGGTAGAGAGTTGGGCCCTCACTCCTTTTTGGTGTCTGCTGTGTTGATGCGAAGGTCTGCTTGCTGCAGCCGCCTGGTCTACAGGGTGGGGAGTGGGAGGTGGGGAGGGGGCGGGGGGCGGGGAGGGGCTCTGGTGGACTAGCGCCTCCACAGGCCTGGGCTGGTTGTAACCGCTCAGGTCAGGACCGGGGCCCAGCGCTGGCTGTGCTGGACTCGGGGCGTCCCGAGCCAGACCACCGGTGGTCATGCTGCTGGAGGCCTGGGTGGGGGGGGGTTCCGGGTGCTCGGCAGACTCCAACACCGTGGCCATGAACGGGAAGGTGGACTTCCCGAAAAACAAGCTGGCCCACCAGTGACCCGGGTCAGCCTTGGGGAGACCTGGGGGGTGGGGAACGGCTTCCCCAGGGCACTCGGTACTGCCGCAGGAGCTGTTGCTGGAAGTGGAATCCAGGCGGCGCCGGTAGTAGTCGTAGGTGGCCAGGAGCGAGCCGCTGGAGGGGATGGCCGCCATGCTCTGGCTTGCTGACTGGTGGGACCTCCTGAAGTATGTTTTTAAAAGTGCATATGAGAGAGAGGTAATGTAAAGACTTTGTATTTTTAGATGTAAGTATTTGTTCATGGCAGTATTGGTTGGAAGAGTTTTGTTTGTTCAACACAACATTGATTTAATGATAGTTGTGTTTAACAATTTTTAAAAGAAAAGTTAGCGGTGACCTCATTAGTTTGTTTAGAAGTAGAGCACTCTGTTTCTTTCATTAAACTTTGATGGAGATTTTTGGTACTTCTAGATTAGCACGCATGTGAAGTTACAAATTAAAATCTTACATTCTGCTTTCTCCAATGTCTGACTAACTCTTAGAGGAGCTTTTTAGTAATAGCCAAAGGCAACTATAGCACTTAAAGTAAAGGGATTGGATTGCATTTTTAAGGTGAGCTGAGTCTAACTACTGTTGAAATAAATGTTAGGTTTGAAGAGGCAAACCAAGCGTATTTAATGCTAACCATGTTCCAGGCGTTATTCTAGGTACTTCATGAATATTAACTTATTTATTCCTCAAAACAGTACTTTCAAGTAGCTGCTAATATCATTCTGATTTTTCAAATGATGAAACTGAGTCACAGAGAAGTTCAGAGATGTTTCCAAGGACACACATCCTACAGTGGTGGAGCCAGAGTTTAATTTCTGTGGTCTTTGGTCCTTATCACTGCTACATGCTCTCATGTAACTAAAACATTAACACAATGATTAATTCATAAACATAATATTTTCAAAAGCGATAGCTAAATGTTAATATGGTTGTTCATGTTCCAAGATAATTATTAGGCTTATTTATTTTATTTTTTTCTCTTGTTATTTTTATTTCAATAGTTTTTGGGGTACAGGTGGATTTGGTTACATGGATGAGTTCTCTTGTGGTGATTTCTAAGATTTTAGTGCGTTCATCACCTGAGCAGTGTACACTGTACCCAATACGTAGTCTTTTATCCCTCACCCCCCTCCCAAACTCTCCCCCACCCTCAGATCCCCCAAATCCATTTGATCACTCTGTATGTCTTTGTGTCCTTAAGACTTATTTATTTTAAATGTTTGATGTATTCATATTTATGACACCTTTCCCCTTTCATGTTCTTTTACCTTTAAATAAATATTTATTACATTAAAACCAAGTATAGAACACCAAAATTCCGTAACATAGAATAATCCTGCCTGAACATATTAAAAATTCATTCTTAAGAAATGTTGCAGGCCAGGCACGGTGGCTCATGCTTGTAATCCCAGCTCTTTGGGAGGCCGAGGAGGGCGGGTCATGAGGTCAGGAGTTCCAGACCAGCCTGGCCAACATAAAGAAACCCTGTCTCTACTAAAAAGACAAAAATTAGCTGGGCATGCTGGCAGGTGCCTGTAATTCCAGCTACTTGGGAGGCTGAGGCAGGAGAATCTCTTGAACCAGGGAGGCGGAGGTTATAATGAGCAGAGATCGTGCCACTGCACCCCAGCCTGGGCAGCAGAGCTAGACTCCGTCTCAAAAAAAAAAAAAAGAAAGAAAAGAAATCATGAAAAATGTATAAAAATCTTAAAAGTTCTTACAATAATTTACAATAAACATAAGACTTAAATGAACATACACTTAAACATTGGAGATACAGTATTATAGCAGGCCAATAACACTCATAAAAGCTGTTTTCTCTGTTTGATTTCTCCTTAATTAAGGGAAGGTGATATTTACAATAATAAAAGTGTCTGATATAGGAATGGGAGATTCTTTTTAATATGAAAAATTATACTACCTGACACTGTTTCAAAAAGTAATGACTTAATAATGATAGAAAAAAATTCTGGTTATTAAAAATAACATAAAAGTGTTCTTTATTTTGGGAAGGGCTTCAAAATCATCAATTATATTTCATATTCACTTCAAGTTGTAAAAACTATCTTGGAATAAGTGTATCTGTATTATTACGTAATTTCCATAAATGGAAAACCACCTTTCCCCCTCCTCTAAGCTTTAATAAAACAGGCAAATATACATCTCAATGGCAGATTAAGGCTTTTTTTGTAGCTAAGCCTAATTAAAATGGCAACATTCCAATGCTTTCTTTACCAGGGAGCAAGGACATCTGCAAGGGATAAAAAGATAGCAAGCATTTTGATGCATTTGTTTCCAGTCTTTAAATGTGGCAACAGAAAACAGGGATTGATACTGGCTAAGCTACAAGCAACATTTGAGTTAAATGTTTTAAAAGAGTACAGGAAATCAAAGCAGTTAAAAAAATTGTGATTTTAGGTTGTTGTTTTGCCTGCTATTTCTGCCTGTTTTCGTAGCATAGACTTCCCCAAATCGTGTCCCAGCATATTATAATTCCCTCTTGGAATTATTTTATACAAGAGAATTCTACAAGACAGAAGCTGGTTCATCTTTAATTAATCCAGCATTTCTCAAACTCACTGACTTTGGAATACCTTTTGTTTTCTTTCTTTTCCAGCATCAACTCCATGCACATTTGAGCAACGTTTGGGAAAGGCTGCTCTAGCATACTGTCCCTTGCCATTTTAGAATATTGCCTTAGTCTGTCTGTGCTGCTATAACACAATGCCACAGACTGGGTAATTTATAAATAACAGAAATGTATTCCTCACAGTTCTGGAGGCTGGGAAAACCAAGATGAAGGTTTGGTGTCTGGTGAGAGCCCAGTCCCTGCTTCCAAGATGGTGTTTTATAGCTGCATCGTCTGGAGGAAATGAACATGATGTTCTTACATGGCAGAAGAGCAGAAGAACAAGAGAAGTTAACTCTCTCTGAAATCTTTTTTATAAGGGCATTAATTCTTTTGTGAGGGTAGAACCCTCATGACTTAGTCACTTCCTCAAAATCCCCACCTCTCAATATTACCACGGTGAGGATTAAGTTTTATATTTTGGGTGACATTCACACTATACTAAATATTATTACTAAACCTCCAATGTTTTCAATTCTTTTATGTTTCCTGATATTATTTCACAGTGACCATACATATTCTACATATTAAAGTGCCAATCCAAATTACAACATAGGAAAGCAGTGAAGGAGAAAATATAACTTTCACTGCCACTTAGACGAAATCTTAAGGCATTTATTAAAAACTGCTTCTTTATGTTACACTGATTTGTATAAATTCCCTTTTCCACTTCTCCGGTAATTGACTGAAAACATTTTGTGGCACCAGACTATGCTACATTCAGATTCATTCATAACTGTCTTAATACCTAGCAGTGTACCTAGAATACAGGAATAAACCAATAAATATTTACTGAATCAAATTAAAGAGCTTAGATTTCCTCAGCTTATTAATTTTCATTCTATGCCTCTTAAACCCTTGGAATTAGATCCCAGCTGAAAATTGACTCTGACTTTTTTTAAAAAAGATTACTTTGTGTTCGTGGTGGAATTTAGCAACAGGTGAATTAATAGTGAATTTCAAGTATACAAATGAGATAGCCAGGACACTTATGTCGATCATTTTTAAAATTCTTATGTTGCTTCATACACATACTAGAACTGAGAATTCTAACAGTACTTTTTCTGAGGCTTTTGTTTATTTGTATATTTTATTTTACAAAGGATGAAAATTTTCTTTTCCAAAAGTCCAAATGAACTTGATGCATATTTTCTTTTAATTTCATCATTTTAAAAATCCCAAGGATTTTAAAACTATGAGAGAAAGATATGAAAACACTGCCAGGGGTATTTTCCTTGCAAGCAAATATTTCAGATGAACAAACTTCACTTAGTAGAAATATTTCAAAGCATCAGTTTTTCTCAGGTTACATTTTTCACCTGTCATGTGGCACAAGATGAACAGATAGAAGGTTACAAGAGCCAGATTTGGAAAAAGCTTTCTTTCACAAATAGCATCGTCTGTGCCCCCAGCTAGTTAAATTCTGTCCTGACAAGCAGATAATGAATATGTTTCTTTAATGCAGTGACTTTCCTTTATTTGCAGAAACTTTTATTCCACACACCATTCCATGAAAATAAAAATAAAACTCAGCCTTCTTTCAAAGGACAAATTTATTCCATAAAATAATATTCTAAAATTTATTATCTAATATTTACCAGCACTTGAGTTTTTAAAATACATCTTTAATGGTTATAATAGTCTGGCATTTTCTGCATAAATGTGACTTCAAATCAGTTTGGCAGGACAAAAATTCTAAGCTTCAATTACATACTGCAAGTGAAAAATACGTATCTATTAATCTATAATAAAGTGTTTCAAGCATCTGCTAGGTTATTAGTAGCAACACTTTTAAAATTTGCAAATTTTTTTATTTCAGATAAAAAAATTTGTCATGATTTTTTCTTTTACAATACAAGAAATACAAGTAAATACAATATTTAAGCAAATACAATAAGCAATATTTAATCACATATTTTTATTATTTTGACTCTCATGTACAATTTTATTTGACATATAAAATTACAGTGCATTAGAATTTTTTGCATTGACATTTATGTTCCGAAGTATAATGATTAGCTTTCGTTTAAGGAAACAAAATTTGCTCTAGGTATGTCAAGCAGAAAGGAATTTAATACAGAGGGTTGGGGTTGTAAATATGAACTAGAAACTGTCTGCCTTTTTTCCTGCTTTAAAAGATATTAGCAATGGCAGTGATGGTCACCTGTGGAAGGATGTTATCTTGAAACAGGGAGTCAATGTAGTCAGGTGACAACCTGTAGTGACAACTTGCACAGGCTTTACATAAGGACAACCTGTTGGAACAGGATGGCAGGCACATCCCAGAAGCCATCAATGCAAGCCTGTGAGAATTTGATACAAGGCAGGAATTTGGAGCAAGGCAGTAAGTACATGCAGTCTGGCAGGGATGGTTCTTAGCGACATTGAGGAAATTGGGCAAATAAATAAATGAAGTATGGGAACAGATTTCTCACTGAAGGAGAAGGAAGGTACAAATATGGACATAAGGGAAGTTGGAATAAACCTGTGGTGTTAGACTGAAATTGGCGGTACTGGCATAAACTCAAGGTTTTCAGATAGATAGATAGATAGATGATAGATAGATCATAGATGACAGATATGTAAAAATATAGTTATTAAGATGTATGTATGTGTGTGAATATGTGTGTAGTTGTATATCCATATTCATTCATACATATATTTTCTCACTCTGTTAATAGAAAGTTCTAGGTGTAGCAACACCCCAGTAGCAATGAACTCTCCTGGCATGCAAAGCTTGGTTTCTAAGTACAGTACAACTCTTCATTACAATAAAGTAGAGCTCCTGGGCAAATGGCAGAGTCCAGGACTGAATTTGGAAAAAACAAAACAAAACAACAACAACAAAAAATATGTTCCTGGAAGTAATAAAGTATGTAAATAAGTAATGCAACATTCAAAGAAAGAATAAAAGCGTTTTGTTGGTCAAATGAAAAGGGACAAAGAAAACCTGCTTCAAGTGACTCCC